GGCTGTACATCTGGGGCAATTCTTTCAATTGAAAAATGTAAAGTACTGCACGTTTGTACGAAAATATCTTGCCCAGGGTTTTGCCTAGAATATAATAACATACAAATTGAACTTGTAAATAATTTAAGACTACTTGGAGTACTCTTTGATAACAAACTTACTTTTAAGCAACATATTTAGAACTAAGAAAGAATCTAGCTACGAGGCTAAATATCATTAAGTACCTTTCATTAAAATACTTTTGTATCCACATAACTACTCTAACAAATATCACAAAAGCATTAATTTTATCAAAAATAAATTATGCCCTACCAATTTACGGTTGGCGCTCCAAAAGCAACATAAAACAGCTTGAAGCCGCCTCCATGCCGCAGTCAGAAGGAGCATCAGTGCGTTTCGCACCTCTCCGGTAGAGGCTGGTAGAAGCTGGATTCCCTTCTATACGGCAACAATTAGAAACAACGACGTATCAGATTATACCCAAACTTTTGTGTAGCAATAAAGACTTACTACATAAATTGGCATTGAGCACAATGAAACGAAAGTAGCCGTTAAAGTATAACTCGACAATTCAGCGGTGTACTAATTTCGAGAAATGCATAGAGCTCGACATTCAAATACACAGAATAAAGAAAACGGTGGAACCACCTTGGCTTATAAAGGATACTTCATTTGTTTCAGATTTGTATACCTTTTCGAAGCGTTCAACTAACAACAGTACATACAAACAACAGTTTGTCCAATGCACTAAACCTCTTACGGATGCCAATTGGTCAATAATTTTTACCGATGGGTCTGAAAACCAAGAACACACTACGTTTGCCGTGGTGCAACAAGATGGCTCTCTCTTAACCGCCGGTTATGTCTTTTCTTACTGCTCGGTATTTACTGCCGTCAAACTTGCAACCGACTTTGCAAAAAAAAAACCAAAGGGAAATTTCTTATATGCACGGACAGCAGATCAATCATTGAGGCAGTACAAAATATAAATAAACCACAGCGAACTTGTAACCGCAATAAGATACAACTGCGTTCAAAATGCCAATAAAATTAAACTAATGTGGGTTCCAGGACACGCGGAAATCCACGGTAACGAGGAAACCCTTTATATATTCCCTACAACGGAGAAATGGGATATTAGTAAAAGGGTTATGTGGCACTTATTCCGGGCAAAGTCAATCGAATGGGAATCGCAAAATCACTTTTACCGAAACTTCAACCCAAATGGTTAAAAACCAATTTATCCACCACCATGCACCCGATTGGGGCATACCAAAATCACCCACGAGCATCTTTTGAATGGAAAGCCGCCACCTGCCTGTCAACACTACAATCAGACAACATCCGTAAACCACATACTCAATGACTGTCCCGGTTTGGATAACTTCCGTAAAACTATTTTTAGAAACATTACCCCAAGTAGCTTATTGAAAAATCCTACAATCGAAAATTTAGCTAAGATAGAAAAATTTATCAAACCCTGTAATCATGGGCGTAGCCAGAACGAGTACTTATGTACTAAAAATTTTTTTATTATAGCTTAAAATTATTGTAACCAATAAAGGTAAATATGTTGTACAAAAAACAAATAAACAGAAGTTCACAAAAGTTGATATAAAACTATTCGTCGATTTAAATTGTTAACTTTTTACTGAGCATGTTTATTTTACGAGGAGGAAGCATCGAAAGCCTAACCCCTTCCGTGTGAGACTTTAACCCAAACTAAAATTCCTACCGTCATGTACCGTTCCCCTCCCGGTACCACCGTCAAGGATTTCGTCGGGATTATAACACTGTGTGACTGATAAGGTTATAGATCTATTCTCTTCCTCTTCTTCCTTTTTGGCGCTGTAACCGCCAAAGCGATTTTGACCAACTGAAGCCTATTAGAAATGCCAAGTGAAGCCAGAATACTTTCAGAGCTGGGGCGTCGGTGTCCATTCGAACGACATGATCAAGCCAGTTGAGCCGCTGTATTTTAATACGCCACATACCAGCACGGGCATGATGAGTGATTTATAGTGTGGTTTTCGTACGTCGAGAGAGGACTTTACTCCTGAATTGCCTACTCAGTCCAAAGCAGCACTTGTTGGCAAGAGCGATTCTGCGTTGGATTTCCATGCTGACATTATTACAGGTGTTAATGCTGGTTCCCAAGTAAACGAAATTCTCTACTTCCTCGAAATTATAACTGTCAAAAGTGACGTGGGTGCCAGGCGCGAATGTGCTGATTGTTTGTTTGATGACAGGAGATACTTCGTCTTGTCGTCGTTTACCACCAGACCCATTCGCTTTGCTTCCTTGTCCAACTTGGAAAAGTCAGGACAGACTTCGCGGTTTTTCTTACCGATGATGTCAGTGTCATCGGCATAAGCCAGCAATTGTACGCTCTTGTAGTAAATTGTTCCTAAGCGGTTCAGTTCTGAAGATCTTATTATCTTCTCCAACATCAGATTAAAGAAGCCACATGAAAGAGAGCCGCCCTGTCTGAAACCCCGTCTGGTGGCGAAAGGCAACAGAGCAGAGCTGGTGGTATTACTCAACGTCATTTTTCACAGGCGTATGACAGACATAGCGGCATATACCTTTAAGTACTGTCGAAAGCGGCTTTAAAGTCGACAAATAGGTGGTGAGTGCGGATCATTTTCTCGCGGGTCTTTTCCAAGATTCGGCGTACTGTGAATACCTGGTCTATGGTAGACAATACATTCGATAAGACCTTGCAACCTATGCTTAGAAGGCTGATCCCGCGGTAGTTGGTACGCATGGCGGGGTCGCCTTTCTTGTGGATTGGGCAGAGCGCACTTGAATTCCAGTCGTCGGGCATGCACCTTATTACCTCCTTGCCATCGTAATTAAATAGCTCAGCTGACAGGCCGTCAGCTCAAACAGCTTTGGCACTTTTCTTCATAGTCAGGCGCTGGGATATCGACTCCATCGTCATCGACTGGGACCTCGAAGTGCTTCCGCTATTCAAAAGGGTCGAAAAGTGTTCCCTCCATAATCTGAGTACGTTCTGGACATCGGTCACTAGGTCGCCATGGTTGTTCATACAAGAGTCTTGAAACCTTCCGTAAGTCGCTCAACTCTCTGCTAAAAATTTCGGGTGTTTTTTCTGTCGGACAGCATTTCAAGCATTTTCTCACACTCGTGATCGTACCAGTAATTAGCGGGAAATGTGGTTCCACTGCTCGCGCAAGTCGGTTTGTTGAAGAGTGCTCTCTCACAGCAGGTGTGAGGGTCGAGCGCCGAATCCATTGGCCGTCTGTTTTGATTGCAGCTTTTCGACGTTGAACTTTCCCTGCATTGTTGGGGGCCCTTTTTTTGCTTCTCCGAGGTTAGGTCGTATATTGGATGCATCAATATAGTAGTGCGAGTCGATGTTTGGCCCTCGGAGTGTACGTATGTACATCTAAAACATGGAAGCATGTCTTCCGTCTATCACAACATGCTCGATTTGGTTTCCCGTTTTTCGATGTGGAGACATCCATGTAGCTTGAGAGAACGAAAAATGACACTGAAGATGGAACAACGCCGAAACCGGTTTGTCTCCAAACCAAATTTGACAAGGGACGACGGAAAATCGTTCCACAATACATCACACTCCTACCCTGTCGGAAACACCAACAACGAAAATGAGAATAGCTTGATGGATGTTTTTATGCTAGAACCCAGTAATACATACTGCCAAGCTTCGGGCCCCGGCGAAGTGGATCATCCTCAGCCCGCCGTTTCTATGTGGAGGCTGATTTTTTCGACACTGGCACCAAAGATCCCTTCGTTGCCCACCTTGGCATTTAAATGGCCAAGCACGATTTTTATACGTGTCGGGGGCAGCGCTAATATGTACGCTCTAAGCTAAGAGAGCCTTGGATGCCTCGTCCTTCTCTTCCATCGGGGCATTGGCACATGTGAATGAGATGTTGAAGAATCTCGCTTTGATGCGGATTGTGGCTAGACTTTCGTCCACTAGAGTGAACGCCGGTCTCTCTCCCACCACAAATCCAACACCGAATTGCACTCCTTTACGTGGCAACTGTAGTAGACGTCGCAAGGCTCACGCTTACCTTCCTCGCCCCGTCCATCGCATTTCGTGGATGGAGCTGATGTCAGCCTTTATTTTCCCTAGGACTTCAACCAGCCGGGCAGAGGCACCATCCCGATTAATCCCCAGCGCACGCGGGGTGTTACGCCCTCCCACTTTACCTCGCTCCCAAACTAGCGTTCGGTCGCTACCCAGAGTATTCATGGATATAAATATCCGGACGTAGTTAGCTGCGATTTGAACCGTAAGCACACGAATCACTTCTGGCCACTCCCAGGTGAATGGCCGTCAAAAGCTTTGCAGTACTGGGAAATGTACAAAACATAGTGGCCAAAAACGAATATCTCAACTAAACCCTGATGAATTTTTTTAAATTCGCTCTACATACCTGTATAATAAACCAAATAGCCGGACAAAACGTTAAATGATATACATACATATGTATGTATGTATAAGTATGAGGGCGTATTGAACATTTTGAGTACGCAGATTTTTTAGGCTGGTATATTTATTTATGCTAAATACATTACTTGATTTTGTTTTGTCACACATTAGAAGTAAACGTCTTGGCTGTTCACCCAACCGCTTAGTAAAGACACAAACCTAAAGACAAAGTAATAAACAATTGAACTATAAATTTATTTATAGTTTCCGTTCAATCAATTTTTGCTCATTGTCGACTGCAGCCAGGTTTTTACCCTTTTAAAATGGAAGTGCTTTGAAGTTAGAGATAATAACTTGATACAGAACCGGATGATCCACATATCTACTTTTCAAATCAATTTACTAATTATTTAGTTAGCGTTGGGAGTATAATTTGTTATACAGTATATATATAGGAAAAACCTTGAAATTTAGGGGGGGCCGAAATTATCAAGCAAGCATTTCGTGGTAGTATTTTTGAATATCTAGGCAAAAATTTGAAAGTTAGGGGGGGGGGGCCCGGCCAGATCAGATTTTTGTTCAGGGTAAAAGATCTGCACCGTTCGCTCGATTTTCAAAAATGAGGTGTAAAATTAAAGCGCTTGTCCTGTAGATGTGCAAACTAGTTTTATTTTTTGAAAAAGAGTTGCCACCTGCTGAAAAATTAAATTCAAATTATTTAAAAATCAATGCTACCATATCCGCACCGTTCGTTCGATTTTCCCAAATGGGGTGTCAAGTTAAAAGGCTTGGACTATATGTGCAATAAGGTTTTATTTTTTCAATGAGAGCTGCCACCTTTAAGAACTTATATTCAAATTATTAAAAAAAAAGAAGTCAATTATTACAAAATGGATATCAAGCTAAATGGTTTTGAAAAGCCTTGTTTCTTAGCTGAAATATAGGAGGGTTGCCACCTGTTTAAAAAATCATGTTAGGTAAGAAAAATATGTATCATCATATGGGTACCAAACGAAAGGGGTTTCAGATACTAGTTTGAAAATATTTTGAAGAGGACTGCCACCTGCTTGAAATCTCGAATTTAGTTTACTTATACACAAGCTAAATGAAACATCAAAATATGGATGTCAAAAGAAGGAGTGTTAAGAAATATTTAGTTTGTACGCTAAGGGCCGTTTGCACCATGTCTAGTTAATTCTAACTCCCAGTTAAACATCTTTATCGACGTTATCGACACCCATCATATAACATGTGATCGATAAAGCAGTTAACGTGCTTAACTGAAGGATGTACCTCCAGTTAGCGTTAACTAGACATGGTGCAAACGGCCCTAAGAGTCTTTTTGAGATGTTGAAAGAGGATTGCCACCTGTTAAGTTAAAGTTAAATTCAAATTATTAACAAAGTTTAATGAATTATTATTAATTATTATTGATATCAATCGAAGGGAGGTTTAAAAAATTTTATTTCTGAGCTGTAATTAGCGTGGTTGCCACATGTTTAAAAAATCAAATTTCACTTAATTCATCAGTTAATTAAAATACGCATCGCGATGTCAGGCGAAGGAGAGTTAACAAGAATTAAGTTTGAAAATATGTTTGAAGAGGGTTGCCACCTGTTTGAAAGGCCTAACTAAATTTACTAATATAAAAAGTATATGAAATATAAAAATACCGTGGCCAAACGAAAGAAAGTTAAGAAATCTTTAGTCTGACCATTTGGAATGTTTGAAGAGCGTTGCTACTAGGGATGTTATTTTTTATGCTTTTTACGATCCCGAGATTTTCGGGATGCCGTTGTCACAATCCCGGGATCCCGGGATTAAACCGGGAGTTAGATATTCATCACTCTTCAACAACTTAATTCGAAAAAATTGCTTCTACCTCTCCTACCATAAAATAAATAATAAAAAAATGGGTTTGAAACCCACTTTTTTATTTAAAGTGGCGTTTTTATTTTAAAGGACTTTGTAATTTCAAAGATATGATAAATTTCAGAAGTTATTTAAAACAAGTAAGAAAGTCTAAGTTCGGGCGGAGCCGAACATTAAATACCCGGCGCAAATATTAAATATATGTTTTTCACCTTTCCGAAAGCTACCGCTACATGGTAAGCCAGGGTGTATCAATTTTGAGTAAATTAGCGTCCTTAGATTTCGAAATATTGAAGTTTCAAGCATTTCTAAAGTTTACCGTTATATGAAAAGCCGCAATTTTAGTCCGATGTCAATAATTTTCAACGTTTTGCTTTTATGTGGCAAGCACAATAACCATACCGAGTTTGGTACAAATTGGTAGAACGGTTACCGAGATCATAAGTGGGTGGTGCCACGCCCATTTTTACAAAATTTTATCATAAACGTATTTCTTGGTAAAGAGTTGTTACAAGCGTCAATTTTGAATAAAGTAGCTTTAATATTTACTGATTTATCAAAGATTTCGTATTTCTCCAAATTACCGTTACATGGGATGTGGGCGTGGTTATTGTCCGATTTTAAAAATTTTCGGCCATTTGGTATCCTGTACCAAGACCAATAACCGTGCCAAGTTTGGAAGAAATCGGTGCAGCGGTTGCCAAGATATACACATGTAACCATAAGTGGGCGTGGCTACGCCCATTTTTCAAAAATTTATAATATTCTTATTTTTCCTCTTAAAAGTATTGTAAATATCAATTTTGAGTGAATAATCTTCAGTAATTATTAAAATATCGCAGTTTTTGTATTTCTGAAAATTACCGTTATATGGGAGGTGGGCGTGGTTATTGTCCGATTTTGCCCATTTTCAGTACCATCCGTCCTACGCTCCTACGTTCGTTAAGATATCTTAATTTTTACTCAAGTTATCGTGTGCACAGACGGACGGACGGACGGACACAGTCACCGCTTAATCGATTTCTCTTTTCATCCTGATCATTTATGTATACATTTGTCGTTATCTGTCTCGATTCGTTTTGCCTGTTACAAACAACCGTTATGTGAACAAAGTTATAATACCCTTGTGCACAAGTGCGCTCGGGTATAAAAATCAATGCAATATAGAATAAAAATATGGGGTGAGAAAGGAAATTTCTATAGAATTTAAAAAAATAAAATTTTTTTTGGATTCACCAGGATGACTAGGTAATCTTTTAAAGTGATAAAGTTAGAATGACTTATTTGAAAGGACTTTGTAATTTCAATGATATGATTAAAGTAGAATAAAAATATAGGCACCAAATGAAAGAGGAAATTTCTCAAGAATTAAAAAAATTTAAAATTTTTTGGATTCACAAGGACGAATAGGTAATTTTTTAATGCGATAAAATTATAAGGACGAAATTTTAAACAAATATTGCGAAATTTCAAGGATAAAATTTTAAAAGGAAATTTTCAATATTACCCAGTCCTTATGCACCAAAATATTTAATCTAATTAGATTCTACAGAATTTCCTCCTTAATTTGATACCCATGCTTCTTCTCTAAGCACATTTCACTGAAATGTTTAAATCATTTTTGAATTACTGTCGTCAAAGTGAAAAACTAAAAACTCAATTTTACAATATTTGGCCCATGGTTTCGCGAATGTATTAATTTTTGTGTGTAAAATTTACTATGGCACGGTGTTATATGTATAACGTGCTAGACATTTATACAAAAATATTTCTTATTAAATAAAACAAGTTAGAAAATCTAAGTTCGGGAGGAGCCAAACATTAAATACCCGGCGCAAGTATTATAGATATGTATGTTTTTCACCTTTCCGAAAGCTACCGCTACATGGTAAGCCAGGGTGCATTAATTTTGAGTAAATTAGCGTCCTTAAATTTCGAAATATTGAAGTTTCAGGCATTTCTGAAATTTACCGCTACATGAAAAGCGGCCGTAATTTTAGTCCGATTTCAATAATTTTCAACGTTTTGCTTCTATGTGGCAAGCACAATAATCATACCGAGTTTGGTACAAATTGGTAGAATGGTTACCGAGATACATATCGTCGTTTAAAGTGCAAAACCGCGTATCAACAAAATGCAAAACCGCGTATCAGCAAAATGCAAAACAGCGTACGTGAAGTTGTAAAAATTATTTTCTAGAACACTCATATTTGAAAATGGTTGCCTTTTATATAAAGCAATCGCATATCTGCCTAGTATATTTCAGCACGAATGGGTAAGGATTGAGCCAAGAGTTTGTGTGAGTAAATCCAATTTTTGGCAACCAATGTCAGTTACGCGGTTACAATTACGATACGCGGTTTTGTACTTTAAACGACGATATATGTGATCATAAGTGGGCGGTGCCACGCCCATTTTTCAAAATTTTATCATAAACGTTTTTTTGGTAAAGAATTGTTGCAAGCATCAATTTTGAATAATTAGCTTTAATATTAACTGATTTATCGAAGATTTCGTATTTCTCCAAATTACCGTTATATGGGATGTGGGCGTGGTTATTGTCCGATTTTAAAAATTCTCGCCCATTTCATATCTTATACCAAGGCCAACAACTGTGCCATGTTTGGAAGAAATTAAGTTTGCGTGGCTACGCCCATTTTCCAAAAATTTATAATATTCTTATTTTTCGTCTAAAACTTATTGTAAATATCAATTTTGAGTGAATAATCTTCAGTAGTTACTAAAATATCGCAGTTTTCGTATTTCTGAAAATTACCGTTATATGGGAGGTAGGCGTGGTTATTGTCCGATTTTGCCCATTTTCAATACCATCCGTCCTACGCCAGAAAGAAGTGTACGTACCAAGTTTCGTTAAGATATCTCAATTTTTACTCGAGTTATCGTGTGCACAGACGGACGGGCAGACAGTCACCGCTTAATCGATTTCTCTTCTCATTCTGATCATTTATGTATGCATTTGTCTATATCTATCTCGATTCATTTTGCCTGTTACGAACAATCGTTATGTGAACAAAGTTATAATACCCTTGTGCACAAGTGCGCTCGGGTATAAAAATAAATATAGAAAATACTGGCCAAGAAATGTAGTTCCTATTACTGCCATTAGTGCAAGTTACAAATCTCGAAAATCCCGGGATTATTTACCAAGAAGGGTATTTCGGGATCCCGGGATTAACAATCCTAGTTGCTACGTGTTTAAAAAGATACATTCATAATATTCATTTGTGTAGGAGGGATGTCATTAGGGATGTTAATTTGCCGGCTTTTTCCTATCCCGGGATTTTCGGGATGGCGTTGTCACAATCCCTGGATCCCGGGATTAGTCCCGGGATTTAGATATTCATTACTTTTCAACAACTTGAATCGAAAAAATTGCTTCTATATTGTTTGAGAAGCTCTCCTACCATGAAATAAACAATAATAAATGGGTTTGAAACTTACTGTTTTATTTAAAGTGGTGTTTTTATTTTTTCTTTCTGACCGCAGGATTTATGTTGAAGGACTTTGTAATTACAAAGGGATGATTAATTCCAAAAATTGTTAAAAAATTGAATGCTACGTAGAATAAAAATATGGGTAAAAAATGCAATAGGAAATTTTTTGGATTCACAAGGACGAATAGGTAATTTTTAAGCTGACAAAGTTAGAAGAACGAAACTAGAGGATGTTATCGAGTTTATATAAGCCCTTAACATTAAATTTTTTCAAAAACAAATGAATGGCCGCCGCGAATAACGTTGTAAGCGACATAATTATAAGTTTTCGGGAATGGAAAAAACGATTTTGACGACACACATAAAATCATTTGATTTAGTTTTCTATTTTTCGGTGCAGCAGTCTCCAAGAAACTTGCCCGTTAATTCAATTGTATATCCATATAGTATATCTTTCAAGTCAAAAAAAGATTTACAAAATTTTAATGATGGGAAAACGTTTTATATCCAAATCCCAATGGATGATAACACGTTTTTCCAGTAAGCCTAGCATCTTTGCTGGTGGCGCTTACAACGTTTTTCGACAAATGAATGTAATAAATATAACAACAAGGTTTCTTTGATTGTTCATCATAGATCATTTTATAAAAATTGGAGAAATGATTTTGAATAGTATCCAATATGAAGCTTGAGCATAAAACTAAAATGGATATTAACACAGCTCCTTCACTTACAACGTTTTTCCACATTACCGTTTCTGATTATTTTTTTTAATTACCCCTTTCCCATTTCTTCCTGAATATTCTTCCCCACTATTTATTAGACTCTTATTTTATATCATTCCAATTTTCGAAATGTACTTTACGTTTTTTACCATTATTGCACTTTTGCATTACGCTTGTTAATTCTAAATTGGCCATGGTCACCTGCACTTAAAACGTTTTTCCACTCACTACTTAAGTAAGTTAATGTCCGAAAACTGACGGAAATTGAGAAATTTCGCGAGAGTATTTTTAACGGTAATCTGCGAAAAAACTAGTTTTGATTAAATTGGCGCTTACGTTATTCACGGCGACCATTCAAATATTTCGAAATTTCAAGGATAAAAAAAAATACGAACAAATTAAAAATGTCTGTCATTAGTCCAGTCGAATCGTCGTGAAAAAGGGCCTCAGTTTGCAATACCATGCACGAATTTAGTTATGAATAGAATTGAATAGGGGGTTATAAAAAGAAGTTAAATCTAAATTTGCAGTGCTGTGCGAATGTTTTTTGCAAAGTTATGCAAAAAAACGGGTTTCTTCACATTTTTAAAAATATCTCGGCTGCTGTTTGTCGCACGGATAAGAGCAGTATATCATTCTGTTCGTAACCAAATTCCCCTTTTTTTTTGTACGAACAATTTTTCTGTTAAACAAATAGAAAAAAAACTATTAAGCATCAAAGTGGAAAATTTCTTTTTTGATGTATGTTTTTCGCAAATTACTCAGTTCCTTCGCATTTTTACACTTGATAGTCCAAATACTTTTTTGAAGTACACAAAATTACCTTTTATCTGATGTATACACATCGATGATCCAATAAGGCAGCCTCTGGCAATCCACGCTGGAACACGTACAAGTCGAGCCTTACAGGGACTTATAGGCTGCATATCAAAACTTTTTGAATCAATTTTTTCTTGTTTGCATTTTATGTTTCATTGCTATATACCATAAAATAATTAACTTACAAGTTATTTTCTTCAGCAAATAAGAAAACAATTGAAGGCACGGATATAATAACCAACGATATGTATAAATATATTACACGCATTTCATCGGTTATTGAATCCACAAGCTCAATATTCATGGCGTAAAGTGATGTAAGTTTATTTAAACAGAAAAAACTTGATATCACGATGCATGTAGTTCAAGATTGTCGGAGTGAAATCTCCAAAAATGAGATAATATTAGGCGCGCATGTGTAATTCGGCTCTAATTCTTATTGCACATATTGTGAAATAAAAGAATAGTAAAATAATAAATAACACTATCGTTGCACATACTATATATTACACTGTTTTGTACTTGAAATGAAAACTTAGTAAAAATGTAACATAACATTGAACTCAATTAATATAAATCGAATTAATTAAATGAAACGTAAGGAATGATTGAACATAAAATAAATATTTTGATAGAGAAAAGTAAATGAAGTACATTCACTATTTCCACTATACTATTTCCTGGCATGTTTTGATGGCGAAGGATCATCTTCACTGTCTTGAAGTGCAATGTCGCTAGGGGGATGAATTGCATGTTTAGCTCCGCCAAATCGAGGTAAGGGGACTGTGGTTGGCATATCATAAATGTCTTCATCATCGCTACTGTCATCGGTGATTACTGGAACGTTCGAACAGTTTTGACCTGAACAATTTCTACAAACGATGGAGCATTTAAGTCCTGCTTTCCTACAGCCGCAAGCTGCGCCGCATTGTGTCGTGCAAGTACACGAAATAATTTTAAGAAGTGAAGATGGAATTGGTTCTTTGGTGCACATAACGGGTTCCAAACGACATCTACGTCTATTCCAGCGCCAGTCTTCCGGGTCCAAGACATTGTCAAGCCATGTTTGAATCTGATGAAAAGTTCTGAAGGAATGTTGTTCAGCAGCTGATTCCGATGGAGGCAAAAAAACAAGATCTGATTTCATTTTATTACCCATACGAGAAAAAAATTTGAAGTTTTGAATTTGAAATTTGAATTAAATTATATAAATTTTGCAGAAGTCAATTTCTCTCTTTTCTTAAATGTGCGCGTGAAAATTCCGAGATATTCACCAAAATTTAAAACAATAGTTTTAAGCATTAAAAAGATAAATTAATGTCCAACTGTCTGTGACCAAAAATCAAAATTTGGTCAGTGAGATTTTTTCCAAATTTCTAAAAGTACAATCGAGCCGTACATTGAGACCTTCTGGAATCATGGCGATTGAGCAAAAACTTCTACAGGCTCGACTTGTACGTGTTCCAGCGTGGATTGCCAGAGGCTGCCTTATTGGATCATCGATATTTATACATCAGATTAAAGGTAATTTAGTGTTGTTCAAAAAAGTATTTGGACTATCAAGTGTAAAAATGCGAAGGAACTGAGTAATTTGCGAAAAACATACATCAAAAAAGAAATTTTCCACTTTGATGCTTAATAGTTTTTTATCTATTTATTTAACGAAAAAATTGTTTGCATGAAAAAAATTAGGAATTTCATTACAAACAGAATGATATGTTGTTCTCTTGCGTGCGACAAATAGTAGCCGAGATATTCGCGAAAATATGAAGAAAAACGTTTTTTTGCATAACTTAGCAAAAAATATTCGCACAGCACTGCAAATTCAGATTTAACTTCTTTTTATAACCCCCTCTTGAATTCTATGTATAACTAAATTCGTGCATTGTATTGCAATCTTAAACTACCATTCGACTGGACTACATATAACTCCGAGATATTCAACACAAAAAACAAAAATTTGTTCGCAAATGATTCAAATTCATTCTTTCTTCTATTCATTCGCAATATGCGAGTAAACGTCAAAAGGAACATTTGTTGATCTCTGCTGAGCTATTTTCAAAATATTATTTTGCTTTCATACGGAGAAGTGTATTTTCGTATACGTTATTTTGAAAGTTGTATATAATTTAAAATTACCGAAATTTGGCTATATCTCGAAACTGTTCTACTGTCTTAATATCTTCATACTTGGGTTCAGCGGAAATTTTTAAATATGAAATGATGGTCAAATGCCAGAGCTCTGAACTTTTTTGAAAATTTGTTATCTAGTGTACATAATTATGGGTGAGTTCTAGTTGCATATTGTTTTGTATTGCTGCGAAATGTGTACACAATATTATACAAATACAAAGCAGCATGCATTTTGGATCTCGCCCTATACATATCTGTGTTCGTAGGGAAAAGTAGCTTATGTTGAAAGGCTGGCTTTAGTATAATGCAGCATTCGCAGCATACGATTGCGAATGACTCATTGGCGCTGAGCCGTTGAAGAACTTTTGGCAGATAAACGTGCAAGAACTAGTTCCGATGCTAGCAAGCCTATATTCTTGTTAAGTCTCATCAAACAATTCTTTGTCGTTTAAAGAATAAAGGGAATGCCGCATTATACTAAAGCCAGCTTCTAGACATTAGCTACTATTCCATACGAACACAGATTTGAAAACGAGTTTTTCTGAACCCTGGAATCTGTTTAAATTCTACAGGATTTGCGCATTAATTTTATACCCATACTTCTTCTCTAAACACATTTCTCTGAATTTTTTAAATCATTTTTAAATTACTGACGTCAGAGTG